GTCCCCGGGCGGAAGGCAGCATGGACAAGGCCCAAGGATGCCCACAGAACAGTCCCATCGGAGGGTCCCTGCAGGGGCTGGGCGGGAAGAGGGGCACGTGTGTACCTGCAGCCGGGAAGATACAGACAGGGGCTCTGGGGACAGGACCCCAGCCTCAAATGACAGGCCACGCAGGAGAGAAAAGCGTAACGGAGGGGGCTGGGGTGACAGCACAGTGGGTAGGGCGTCTGCCTTGCACGCAGCAGACCCGGGTTCGATTCCCAGCATCCCATATGGTCCCCTGAGCACCGCCAGGAGTGACTCCTGAGTGCAGAGCCAGGAGTAACCCTTGTGCGTCGCCAGATGTGACCCAGAAAGGAAAAAAAAAATGAGAAAAGCGCAACAGAGATGAAGAGGGAAACTGATTTCCCTTGGAAACTAGAGTCCAGAATTCTAGAGCACGGCCCCTGCCCCTTCACTTCTCTCTTCACTTCTGGGGGAGCATGCCACTCCCGGCAGGGGTCGCTCTGCACACGAACTCGCGGCCCCTGACCCTGGCTGAGGAGCACTGAGGGCCAGAGTTTCTTCCGCAGCCAGTGGGCACGGAGGCGCCCGGCCTCACACAGGGCCTGCCCAGCAGGGGGCAGTCAGGAGGACAACGAAGCCCTCGGCCGCCACTCCAACAGCTCTGGGCCACCCTGGGGTCGGGGCCGAGTGCCTCGGAGAGGCCCTGGTCAGGGCATCCCCCACCAAGGCTGTCCTGGGGTTCCCCGGACACGGTGGTGGGCCCAGTGATCCTTCCTGATTCCCTGCAGGAAGCCTGGGGGGCGCGGGGCTCCCTCCCGCCCTCCGACTGCAGATGCCGCACGGGCTGGGGAAACATGCTCGCTCACTCGCTCTTTTGCAGAAAACTGAACCCAGGCCTCCCTCGGGCGATGGGAACGAGCGGGCAGCAGGCGCACCAGCCCGCACCCAGCTGCTGCCGCCCGCTGGGGCGGGAGATGGCATTTCGTGGCAGGGGAGCCCGCAGCAACAGACAGGATCCCCCCATAAAAGGCGAGGCGGGCTGCGGCATCCCGGGGCTGCGACCCGGCAGGCCGGGTGCCCGCTCATCTTAATCGGTGCCGCCGCCGGGTGACGCAGGCTCGTGTCTCGGCAAGGCCCGGGGAAGCGAGGGAGCAACTCTGCCCGTCAGATGCCCGCGCTCCGCAGGACGCCGCCGCCGAAAGCTAAATCGCTGCTCGCTCTCCAGCTGCCAGGCTGCCGCTGCCGCCCAGCTGGGCGGGGCCCCCTGCTGTGCCAGGCTGGCGGGTTTCGGAGCTTGGCCTGGGTTCAGGACCCCTGCTTGGTGCACTGGGAGATTCCAGAGGGGCGGCCCTCGCCTGGCCGTGACGGGGATGCCAGGGCCTGAATGCGCAGGCGACCGGATGCCACCCCAGTCCCTCCAACCATCCTCCGGCCCCACTCTCAGGATCCCAGTTCAGACCACGCTCAGCCCGTGACTCCTGGGGCCTCACTCTGAACTGTCGCCAGCCAGGCCCAGGCTCGTGGCGCCCAAGAAAGGCCTGCAGGACTGACGCTCTGCAGCCGAAAGCTCAGCCCTCGAGAGGCCCTGGCATCCTGCAGGGGTTGCCATCCAGAAGCCATGAAGCGGTTAGCACCCAAGCAGCCGTGACACTGAGTGACCGGCTCCAGCCTTAGTCCTGCTCTGGCCACCAGCCCTGCCACCCGTGGAAAGCACGGGGCAGCAGGACCAAATCCCTCTGGAGAAGCCTGGAACAAGGGGTCAGGGTGATAGTCCAGCAAAGAGGGCGTTTGCCTTGCACATGGCTGACCTGGGTTCGATCCCCAGCATTTCATATAGTCCCCCGGGTACCTCCAGGAATGATTCCTGAGTGCAGAGCCAGGAGTAACCCATCACTGGGTATGACCCAAAAAGCAAAACAAACAAACAAAAAACCAAAAAAAAAAAAAATACAGTAGCCCTGCAGCCTCCGGGCGGGGAGAGGCTAGTGGATAGCCCCAGTCGGAGGGACAGCACCCGGAGACCAGAAAGACCAGGCAGGAGGCAGACGCTGACCCTCTGCCCACCCCTTCACATCTCAAGGGCTGCCACAGGCCGGTATGGGGGGAGGGGGGGCAGCTGTGGCCTCTGACCAGCAGACAGGGTGGAGAGGCCACCCTGCACCAATGGGCCACACCCAGCAGCTACAGGCCCCAGACAACAGTCATTACTGCATGGACAGCACAGGGTGGGGGGGGTCTCAGAACAAGAACCCATGGGACACTGCAGGCTGAGGCCTCCAGCGGGAGTCAGGCCGGAAGGGGTGAGAACACGCCGGCTTTGCTAGGCAGAGGGGGCCAGGGTGGGGGTGGGGTGGGGATTTGGGCTCCTCTGCGGGAGGGGACAGTCCTGGGGCTGGTGGGGGTGGGGGGTGGAAGTGAAATTAGCCGGTTGGGATTTGCATTGTAGACAGACTGCAGGGGACCTTGGGTAAAAGCAAAACTTTTGGGGTTTTTTTTGCCTTTTGGGTAACACCCAGCAATGCACAGGGGTTACCCCTGGCTCATGCACTCAGGAATCACTCCTGGTGGTGCTCGGGGGACCATAGAGGATGCTGGGAATCGAACCCAGGTTGGCCGCATGCAAGGCAAACACGCTCCCCACTGTACTATCACTCCAGCCCCCAAAAGGCAAAACTTTTAAGCACAATGTGAAGGCGGAAGCAAGCCGGTCTGCAGACCAGCACCTGCCACCATCCTTCAGCGGCTGCAGAAAGACATACCAACGCACTAGAATGCAGACTGCACACGGGAGGCCTGGGCTCGGTCCCTGCAGGACACCGTCCCGGGAACCCCCCAGAGTGAGCCCTGAGTGCGCAGCTGGGAGTGGCCCTTGAGAGCCACCGGATGTGGCCCAAGAACAAACAAAAACACGAACTCAAGCAGAGAAGCCTGTCCCGCCACTTGCCCTCAGAGGCCCTGCCTTTGCTCCTGGCCAGGCTCAGGGAGCCCCCGAGCCCCCAGGGGCACCGACAGGAGAGGGACGAGGAGAGGGAGGCCCCAGCATATTTTCTGGGCCACAAACACAACCTCCCGGACCCCTGGACGTTTTCAATTTCACTTAAGAATGGCGCTTATCTGCCCCAGCACTGTGGTGCAGATAAGGAGTCTCCCTGGCGGGCCGGGCCTCTCGTCCAGCCTGTCTGGCCTGCAGGTCCCGCCTCGTCTGGTGCTGCAGGCCAGCTGGACATGCTGTCCTCAGCTCTGCCCCTGCCCAAAGAGTGAGGAGCAGTGAAACTTTCAATCTGCTGATTCCAGAAGGATCCAGAAGGATCCATTCCCTTCCGGGTCACTCCCTCTCCCTCTGTCCTTTCCCTTGGGGGCAGGATGGAGCCGCCTGCATGGGTCACCCTGCCTAGGTCCAGTCACATTCCACACTAATAGGGAGCGGCACGGCAGCGGATTGGCTGGGGGGGGGCAGTGGGGAGGCTGGACATGTCTCTACCTCTCCTCTTCTTCAAAAACATAGAAAATAACCACCACTCTCCCCGGGTGCTACGTGCAAATGCCAAGGAGGGGTGGCACGTGTTTCTAAGGCCCAGGGAAGAAAGAGGGGCAGGAGGGGAGCAAGGAACTTGGGGGTCGGGCCTTCCGGCTTTCAAACCTCAGCTCAGCCCCTTGGCATGGGCCTGTGAGCTCAGGCACGATCCTTAACCTCTCGGACAGAAGGAGGCAGCGGCTCCAAAACACAGATTGTCCCGAGCCCACTCAGCAGCGGAATCTTGGTTAAAATAACAGATAAGCAAGCCCTGGCCCCGAGCAGGCCGGCTTCAGCACTTCTCAGAACAGAGCTGCCTCCACCGCCCAGAGCTAGGGCCTAAGTCACAGTTCCTGCCAGGCAATGCAGGCTTGGATGCGGAAGACCCCGGTTTGATCCCCCGACACCGCTGGGAGCCGCACCCAAGCACCATGAGGTGTGGGTCCCGTACAGCAAAAAATGAAAATGGTTTTCGCTAATCTTCTGTTGATGTGGAGGGAGCCAGACCCTCCTGCAACTCCCTCACTGCTTCCGGGAGGCCGGCTGCGGACCTCACAATGGTCACTCTGGGCCAGGGAGGTGGAGCAGGCCAAGCTGGTGTTTCCTGGACCCACCTGTCCGCACTTGCGACAGGAGAAAAGCAAGATCACCCCTCTCCCCAGTCTTGGACCCTAATCCGTTGGTTCCCCATGGCTGGGAGCCCTTCTGTGAAAGGAAAATTACTATTTGGTTTGGGGCTATCCCCCGCAGTGCTCAGGGTTTACTCCTGACTCAGCACTCAGGAATCACTGATGGTGGGCTAGGGGGGCGTTATAGGGTGTGGGGGATCGAACCCAGGTCGGCTGTGTGCAAGGCAAACGCCCTTCCCGCTGTGTGATCGCTCTGCCTGGTGAGTTATTTTAAGCCTCTCCTGAACCCAAGACGCCTGCCCGAACACGCGAAGCAAATGACCTCGGGACAGGAACCAGAAAGGGTTTTAAGGCCTTTCATTCTGCCAGAAACACATTTAAAATTTAAAGCATTTCGAGCTCACAGCCTCTCTGGGGCGAGCTCTGAGCGAGCTCTGGTTTGGCGGAGGACGAGGCCGAAAGTCCAAAGCCTCCCTTTAAGGGGATCACAGGAAACACCCCCAGACCCCCAATCTGCCTGCCAACCCGTTCAGAACCGGGAGGGAGGGGGAGTTGGCTGGCTTTCGGAGTCCCCCGAACCAGCATCCCTGAACAAAGGGAGGGAGGGTCCAGTAGGCGGAGCCAGGGCTTCCCAGGAGGGCAGTCCAGGGGCCCCCCACCTCTGCGCACCCACCCAAGTACCTGGAAACTAGGGAACCCGGACCCCAGCGATCTCTGTGTCAGAATGTGGGGGTCGAATGTGGAGTCGGCCACAAGGATGCAATTTCAACTCTCAGAACACGGAGGCCCCTGAGGAAGCCCTCGAGGGGCACATGCCCCCCCCACCTCCATCCCTACCCCCGCTGTCTTACTTTGGCTAGGCAGCTCCTCCTGGCCGTTGCAGGGAGCCACTGGGGCGCCGCCTGCCTCGTCCAAGGTCAGGATGAGGGGCACGTCGTCATCCAGGCTCGTGGCCATGTTCTGCTCCCCCGCGGACCTCAGGAGGCGATGTCCAGGGCTTTAAATAGTCTCTGCGTGGAGCTGGAGGTGCTGCTCAGCCACGCCGCCATCACGGGCATCTCTGGGGCTGGGGGCGCGGGGAGAGAGACGATGGTTAAGCTACAGCCAGGCCCTGGCGAAGACGCTCGAGAATTAGGAGGGCAGAGGCTTCATCTCCTTGCAGATACACACACACACACACACACACACACACACACACACAAAACTTCAACTTCTAAATGGTGGGGTTCGTGGCATTGACGCTGGACCTCAAGTTTGAAAAGAGCCGATGGTAGTATACGAGGATGAAAATAAGGGGGTGGGGGGGGCTGGAGCAATGGCACAGCGGGGAGGGCGTTTGCCTTGCACGCGGACAACCCGGGTTCAATTCCCAGCATCCCATAGGGTCCCCCAAGCACCGCCAGGGGTGATTCCTGAGTGCAGAGCCAGGAGTAACCCCTGGGCATTGCCAGGTGTGACCCCAAAAAGCAAAAATTAAATAAATAAATGAGGACGGAAGGGGCGGCTGCAAGAATTCTGGTAAGGGTACGAGGAAAAAGGTGAACCAGGCAGAGCACAGACCCAGCACACGCGAGGCCCTGAGGTCCCCCCAGCACTGCCTGGCCCCTCTGAACATCCCCAAAGCAGCTCAAGGGGTCCCCAGAAGTGCCACACCTGAGCACCTGAGGAGGGGGCCCCTGAATGCCACCCTCCAATGATGCCAGGAGATAAAGATCAGTCCCGTCTCTCTGCCTCATTATGTCTGACACGTGGTACGAGTTTTTCTTAGAAGATTTCAGAGACCAAAGGGCGAGTGCACCAGTGTTATCGGCAGAAGGCCAGGCTCCATCCCAGATCTGCATGGACCCCAAGCCAGGTGTGTCTCCACAGCAAAACACAAAACAAAACAAAACAGAGGTTAGAGATTTGGACTGGGCATGTAGGAGGTTTTCGCAGGCCTCGAATGTGTGAGGTCCTGGGTTCAATCTCAATACCAACCCCCCTCCCCAATGATTTTTAGCGACAAAAACAAACAAACAAACAAAAATTAAAATAGTAACAGAGGCAAGTGGACTCACAGGGGTTAAGGCACTCGCCTTGCACACAGGCAAGCCTGGCTCATCTCTGCCATCATACATGGTCCCCTAAGCACCTCCAGAAGTGACCCCTGAGCACAGAGCCAGGAGTAAGCCCCAAGCACAGCCAGGTGAGGCCCCAAAGCCAAGAGTAAACAAATAAAAAATAAAATAGTAATAGCTGCCAGCAATGAATACTAAGTACCGGGGGCTCCCCCGGCCAGTTGTGAGTCGAACCGATCCCTCCAGAAGAGGGGACGGGCTTCGGGCGGAATAAGCACCTCGCCCAGAACCTGGCGGCTGGAGAAGCAAGGGTGTGACCAAAGCCCTGCACAGTCGGGGGCCTGGCCCTCCTCCCCCAGATTCTGCTGTCTGATGCGGAAGGCAGAGTGGACCCGAGCACAACCTCCAGCTCAGCCCTGACACCCCAGATAGGACCCGCAGAAGCAGCCCGCGACATCCCTGTGGGTCTGCAGTTCCGCGGAAAGCGGAGTCAGCAGAGCTAGAGGCAGGACCTTTGAACTTGAAAACCGCAGCTGGAGCCTTCCCGGAGCCGCGGCTTTCTGGCCCCAATCAATCTCCGCTCCAAACGAACTCCCTGAACTGCAGCCTGCCCACTTCTGGGGTGAATCACCCGGCAGGGCAACCCCGGGCAGGCTCTGGGGGCGTGCAGGGAGCCAGGCAGAGAGGCAGCCCCGGGCTCTGGGTAGCCCGCCTCCCGCTCACTTCCTCCCGCCGGGGACTGCTTTGGCTTCTGGATCTCAGGGGGCGAGAGGGGGGTGTATCCAGAAGAGGGAATCCCAGATGAGAAGCTCTCACTGAGCCATTTCTCTCTAATGCTGCTCTTTGGTTCAACTTTCAAACCAGGCGTTGTCAAATACACTCGGGCGCGTGCTGTCACTCAGCTCTGGGTTTATTTTGAGAAGGGTGGGGAGGTCTGCCCACCCTCTCTCTCCACCCAGCAAGGGTGTCTTCATTGCCACACAGTTACCCTCATGGCCTGGGGGGTTGGACTGTTAACATGCGCTGGGGTGGGGGGTGGGGGAGGGATCAGCCACTCAGGAAATGTCCCTGATTGTCCAACTCAGGGGAGAGACCAGAGGAACTGGAAGCACCTTACAGGGTCCAGGTGAGCCGCAGAGAGGAAAGGGGGGTTCTGAAGGCCAGGGTGCTAGGTTGAGTAATCCCACCGAGCTAAGGGCCCCCGCTTCCCGGGGTGGCCAGGAGGCTGTGGCCAGGTCTCGCCCCTCCAGGAAGTAACGGCACGCAGCCCAAAGTGGAGGTGCAGCCCCTAACCAGGGCCTGGACGCGGGGATCCCGGGTTGGAGGTCAAGCTCATCATCCCGGAGGGGGCAAGGCACTGGCCCAAGGTCGCCGGCGCTGCGCTGCGCTCCGTGCCGGGGCCCCGCTTCTCTCCCCGGGGTCCCGGAGGCCAGGGCCCCCCCCCCGAGCCCGACTGGCCCCGGGGGTGCAGCCCGGGCAGTGGTCCCGCTGTCGGGCAGGGGGTGGGTGACTGGCCCCGGGTCTCCGCGGGGTCCCCGAGGGCTCCGGGGCGGAGGGGGCGCGCGGTCCAGCTCCACGCGCTCCCCGGGGCTGGGCCCCGCGCGGGGGTCGCCCCCCGAGGCGCGGGGGCGCAGGGCAGCCCGCCGGCCCCCGGCGCGGGGACAGACGCGCGGCCAGGCCTCCCCCGCTGCCCCTGGGGGCTGCCCCGGCCCGCCTCCCGCGGGAGCTCGCCGCGCCCCCTACTCCGCGCCCTCTGACCCTTGACCCCTGCCCTCTCCGACAGGCCGTCCCTCGCGCCCCTGGAGTTCTTACACGCGCCGCCCCTGCAGCCCGGACGGCGCCGGGGTCCGCACCGCGCAGCCCGGCCCGCCGCCGAGAGCCCCGATCGCGGGGAGGGGGGTCGCAGCCGCCCGCGCCGCCGCCGCCGCCGCCACCTCGGCCGCTGCCACCGCCGCAGCTGCGCCAGCGCTCGCATCCGCCGCCTACCGAGCCTCAGCCCCCCCCGGCCCCGGCCCCGCCCCTCGCCGCAGCCTATTGGCTCGCCGGGCAGCCACGCTGAGCCCCGATTGGCTTAGCCTCACGTCGTTCCACAGTGCTCTAACCCTGCCAATGCCCGGCATCTGACCCGCCTCCTTGGGCGGGTGCGAGACGGAGCCGCCTCGCCCCTAGCTCCGCCCACTCCCTCGCCCCGCCTTCCGTGGACGGCACAGCCCATAGGGAGTCCCGGGCCTTTCCATTGGTGGAGGGTCAAACGGAGGGTGCTGCCGATTGGCCAGACCTCAGAAGGCGGGGAAAACGGAGTGAACCGAGTGAGCCAATGGTGTAAAGGAAAATCAGTCAAACTCAGTCCCGCCCCCTGGCATTGGCTGGTAACCTAGCAACGGAGGTACCGCGGCGTAAACGCTGAGTGGAGAACCTGGAGCCTTGGAGCTGGTAAGGAACTAAGTGGGAAGGAGCTGGGCTTAAGAGAGGCGTGGAACTGAGCCTGATCCACTATCCTTTAGCGCCCCGAGGAGTTAGTAGCCCCGAGGACCGTTCTTCCCAAGGATTCTGTCCCCGTCTCTATCTAGACTTCCCGCCCATTCCCAGCCAGGACCGCTTGGCCCCTTGAGCATCTCAGCCTGTGCTCTCAGCCTCGCTTGTTATCTTCCCCGTCCAACTTTCTTATCCTCGCAACACGGAGTTACGCGGAGTCACATCGAAGTCAACCATATTCAAGCCAAGCATAGGTGATGGTGTTGGGAGGGTCGAGGTTAAACCCACCCACCCACCACATCTGTACCCTCCAGGCTGAGAAAGAAATGACAGGCATCTCACTTGAGTGTTTAATTTAGCTTAATTCTGCGCGTGCCAGTGTTTGTCTTGTGTGCCAACTTCAGAACTTAACTCCCATTGGCTCCTTAAAATGTGATTCTGCTTACAATGGGTTTACTAAGACAATGGGTTTGTTGTGAGAAAAAAAGGCAATTTAGAGTTTGGCATGGAGCCTAGAAACTTAGTAAGTTCTCAATAAGGAGGGGGATGTGGAAATGGAAAATGAGGGGGGCAGACCTTGAACACAGACACCCTGATTCTTCCTGCTTAAAATAGCTTCAAGGGAGTTGCTACACCATATTTTAACTATTCAGATCTCCAGCAAGTATTTAATGAATATTGACCATGGGGTAATGTGCAATTAAAAAAAAAACCAAAAGCCAGAGATATAGTACAGGGGTTAAGACAACTACCTTGCCGTTACCTGACCCCAGTTTCATCCCCAGCACCATTCAGTTCCCTGAGCTCTGCTGGGAACAATCCCCAAGCACAGAGCTTGGAATAGCCCCCTCATACTGTCGAGTGTGGTCCCAAAGCAAAAAATAGGTTAAAAAAAAAAGAAAAGAAAAGAAGCCGTGCTAAAGCTGAACGGGACTCTTTGGTGCTTTTCTGAAAAATCAACCAAAGGCATGCAAGGCTGGGCACTTCCTCCTCAGAAGGCCTAGCTTGTGTTTTTTTTCTTTTTGGGTCACACCTGGCGATGCACAGGGGTTACTCCTGGCTCTACACTCAGGAGTCACTCCTGGTGGTGCTCAGGGGACCATATGGGATGCTGGGAATCGAACCCGGGTCAGCCGCGTGCAAGGCAGATGCCCCACCCGCTGTGCTATCTCTCCAGCCCCCCTAGCTTGTGTTTGAGGTGGATTTAGCTGAGATTTCCCTGATGTCTTCTCTGTCTTGCCCCCTGCCCTGCCCACACTCCCCACCTACCCCCAAACCCCCTTCCATTTTGGGGGTGTGATAGATCAACCAGATCAGCCAGCTCATGAAGACCTACAACTTCTCTCTTGCTCTCCGATGGGGCTTGCTGGATTTGGATTATCGTCAGCTAAAGTGCTGACTTGGGAGACAATAGAAAAAGTCGACCCAGGAGCCGCTTAGACTAGCCTGCTGTCCGCTCGGAACCCACAATAACTGACAGCTTAGAATTCTGGGATGCAGCCACAGGGACCGGATATGGGTTGTCATATTCCGTGGATTGAGTTCCTGCACACGTAGTAGCATGCAGAATCCTCCCCAGCCCCACCCGGCCAAGTCAGTTAATGTTTGATCCCAAGTTGGTCGGCATTGGTGCTCCAGTTCTCTGATCTGGCAAGCTGGTAACTGGCATCTCCCTGGCGCTCCAATGCAGGTGACTGGCAGAGACACAAGAGGACAGGCACCAAAGGAGTCAGGCAAGATTTGAAAATGACCTAGACAGGAGCTGGAGGGATAGTACAGTGGGGGGAAGGCGCTTGCCTGGCTCGTGGCCAGCCTGGGTTCAATCCCTGACACCGTATATGGTCTCCTGAGCACTGCCAGGAGTGATCCCTGAATGCAGAGTCAGGAATAAGCCCTGAGCATGATTAGGAAAAGAAAATGATTTAGACACTGTCCTCACCCAGCAGGGAATGAAAGCCTTTGCAGAACAGAGTGGGAGCACCATCACTGACCAACTTGGGCTTGAATATTACTTTACACAGACAGAGAGATAGCAACCCCCCCCCCCACTGGAAGCCACCCCAGTGCATTGCATTTTGTTTGGACATATAAATAAGGGTGGAGAGATAACCCAGGAGGTGAGATAGGCGCTTGCCTTGCATGCAGTGACCCCATTTCCATCCCTGGCACCACATATGGTCCCCCGAGTACCCCCTGGCTCTGAGCACAGAGCCAGGAATGGCCCCTGAGCACTGCCGGTGGGGGGCCACAACACCATCATCATCACAAGTAAAGTAAGTAAAGGCCCTCCCATTGATCGTCGATTTGCTCGAGCGGGCCCAGTAACGTCTCCATTGGAGACTTTGCTGTTACTGTGTCTGGCATATCGAATACGTCACGGGGAGCTTGCCAGGCTCTGCCGTGCAGGCGAGATACTCTCGGTAGCTTGCCGGGCTCTCCGAGAGGGGCGGAGGAATCGAACTCGGGTCGGCCATGTTGGCCGCTTGTAAGGCGAACGCCCTACCCGCAGTGCTATCGCGGGTAAGATCAAGTGTAGTATCGATCATCACAAGTACAAGAAAAAAAAGGAAAAAAAAATAACAGAGACATCTGCAGCTGTCTATTGTGGAAGAAATTGTCTTGAAAGATTTAATCCAGGAAATTATTGACCAGACACCCAAGCAATAGAATAGTATGAATAGCAAGAGCTGGAGCAATAGCACAGCGGTAGGGCGTTTGCCTTGCACGCAGCCAACATGGCCAACCCGAGTTCGATTCCTCTGCCCCTCTCGGAGAGCCCGGCAAGCTACCGAGAGTATCTCGCCCACACGGCAGAGCCTGGCAAGCCACCCGTGATGTATTCGATATGCCAAACAACACAGTAACAAGTCTCACAATGTTACTGGGCCCGCTTGAGCAAATCGAGGAACAATGAGAGGACAGTGACAGTAAGGCAAGCAATTATCGGGGTGAGGGATCAGAATATAGAATCAGTGCTTCTAGCTAACATTTTTGAGTCACGATCACGATCATCCTGTTGTTCGTCGATTGCCTCGAGCAGGCACCAGTAACGTCTCCTTCGCCCTAGCCCTGAGATTTTAAAAAGTGCCATATTCAAGGCTCTTTCAGGGTTTTAGGAGAATGAGACCCACTTTTGCGTACGCAACAAAAAATTAAATGTGAGGTGTCCAGAGAAACAAAGTTTGAAGGAACAGGACAACAAGCTGAGACGTGAAGTCTGAGCACAGAAACTGTCTTCATGTTTTCCCACACCCACCCGCCATCCCCTGGTCCGGTGCTGTCTTAGCAGCAAAGGCTTCAAAGCAACCACTCAGGGGACTGGAGCCATAGCACAGCGGGGAGGGCATTTGCCTTGCACACGGTCAACTCAGGTTCAATTCCCAGCATCCCATAGGGTCCCCCGAGCGCTGCCAGGAATAATTCCGAAGTGCATGAACCAGGAGTAGCCCCTGTGCATCACCGGGCGTGACCCAAAAATAAATAAATAAATAAATAAATAAATAAATAACAAAGCAACCACTCAGTCATAGAGTAGATCCTTCACATGCATGGGGCCTGAGTTAAACGGTCATGGTCACGGTCCTCCCATTGTTCATCGATTTGCTCAAGCAGGCCCAGTAACGTCTCCTTCGTGAGACTTGTTACTGTGTTTGGCATATTGAAAACATCACGGGTAGCTTGCCAGGCTCTGCCGTGATCGGTAGCTTGCCGGGCTAAACAACAAAAAAAAAAAATTAAGGTTTTTTATTTGTCTTGGGTCTTGTATGGGTTTGGTTTTGGGGCCATACCGGCTTGCTCAGGGCTTAACTCTGATTCTGAGCTGAGGGATCACTCCTGGTGGACTCGAGGTGCATATGGGGTGCTGGTGATTGAACCTGGGTCGGCCTCGTGCAAGGCGAGCCCCTCCCTACCTGGCTGTACTGTGCCGTGCCAGCTCCCCACGATTTTTTTTTTAAACTTGTTGGTTAAAAAAGATTTAGAAAATCTGTAACTACCTAGTGTCTCCAAATCGCGTCCATGATGTCCTGGACGACAGAGTTGCCATTTATGGAAAGCCCAGAGTGCTAAGCCAAAGTAGGAAGCCAGGGGTGGGCTGTTAGCCTAGGGGTTAGGGTGCATACCTAGTGTGTGCCAGACATGGATTAGATTCCCAGCATCACATAAGTCCCCCCTGGGGAAAAAAAGTTCAAAATCAAAAGATGACCTACGTTCAGACATCCCCACAATTCAATGTTACGGGAACAGAAACTCGTGGCTCATGGGAGTTGGGAGAGATAAGACTTAAACATTTTGTGGTCATGTGACCTGACTGTCCATTTCTGGAGAGGTCACTGCGTCGTTGCAAGCCTCTCACGAGCACGTCTTACGGTATGTGACTCTCAGCTAGGCAGAAGCCTCCAGAATTCAGGATGCTAGTTTGTCCTGGGGCCAGAAGAGCCGAGAGCCCAGCAGGATGTGAAACCGTGTGTCCAGGGGCCGGAGTTGGCTTCTGGCCAAAGCAAACTGGTGAGGTC